TCCAAGCAGGAGCATCCCATCCTCAGCTGCTCCAGAGGGAGGAGGCAGCCACTCATCCCTGGGCGGTGGGGAAGCAGCCGCAGGAGCACCCAGGGCCCTGACATTCTCCTCCCCAGCTGGCAGTATCAGTCCCACCACAGCCCATCAATCCAACATCGTGCCCGATTTGAAAGGGAACTGTTTGGTAGATTTGAACCTTCATCTAATTAGCTCTGATCTTATCTCATTCTTGTTGCTTAATTGCTCTATATCCTTCTTCCTTACTCGTTTATTTGTACAACTGAAGAATCTACCATCACTCCTCTTCACACACTCATGGTCTGGCTCTGCCAAGTTTTTGGCAAGTTGCATCTTACATTTATGATTGCAGATCCCCTGATACAGCTTTTTTTGCAGATCAATCTTAGTCTTTGTTCTTGGAGAGCTCTGCTTATTCCTAGGAGCCTCGGGACAATTGTGTTTGGATTCTCTACCTGCAAGATTTCTCTTTGCCAGGAATACATATCAGGGCAGGTTTTTGACTTACAATATTCACTGAAGATCCCACCTCTATTTTAACTCACTGAAGACAGTAAATTCCATTTACTCCGCTACACTTTTTTTCTTTACCAAATATAAAAATCTAGACTCTATCCTTATTTTTGGTATATCTTACACCATCATTTTCCAAAGCAGTGTAACGGTACACGTTTTCATCCTGTCTTTGTTTCTGCACAGTCCGTGCATCACAGACACTTCCTACCCTCAGCTTCCCTGTCCCCTCTACCTCCCCCTAAAGCCCAGACATCCTGCTCTGGCCTGTCCTCACCCACAGCAGCTCTTGGACTGACCAAGTCACTTGCCTCAGCTTCTTCCCCTCTGCACTCAAGAATTTTTCACTGAAAGAGTGGTCGGGCATTGGAACAGGCTGCCCAGGGAGGTGGTGGAGTCACCGTCCCTGGATGTGTTTAAGGGCCGTTTAGATGCAGTGCTGAGGGACATGGTGTAGGGGAGGACTTTGTAGAGTAGGGTAGATGGTTGGACTTGATGATCCCAAGGGTCTCTTCCAACCTCAACGATTCTATGATTCTATGAAGAGCTGGCGTGTGTATTCCAGACACCTCTCCCTTACCCCACAGGCCACCAACCTGTTCCACCGGCAGAGGACAACCTCTTCCCAGAGCAGGCTGCCTCTTTGCTGGTGCTTTCCCTTGGCCACCCACCTCCTCCCCCATGTTCCTTCAGGCAAAAATCTGCCGACGTCTGTCTGATCTCCCTCCTCTTGCACTAAAACCAGTGGTGCAGACAGCAGCCTACCCAAATCAGTCCCCTCGCTTCTTGGTTTGTAGCCACTTAGATTTCTGAGGGACCACACATTTGGGTAGAACCCCTTCCCTGAGCACTCCTTCTCTCAACGCTTCCAGTGGCTGAATGGCAGGTGACTGGGAACCACTGGGAACCACCCCTTGCCTGTCCCTGGGTCATCACCACTCCAGGCAAAGGACTTCAGCTCCAGCACAAGCTCCAGGAGCACGTGCCTCCTCCCCTCCTTGGTGATGCCCATCAGGCAGCTCATGCTCAATGACATGGTGCTCTCTAAGCTCTGAGCTACATGGTCCTTGGGGACACAAGGAGGAGAGGAAGAAGAACAGGAGGTAGACAAACACATGGGCTGGACACACTGGAAAGGTCACTGACAAACACCCTCTTTTTCTGTTTCATTTTAGTCAGAGCCCCACACACATTCACACTGTGAAAGATCATCTTCCTACATCCCTTGGAGATAGCTCTACATCTCCTGGGTACCTGTAAAAGCGCTGCCCACCCATGGTACCTGTCACATCCCCTGGTGACGCTCCAGGGGATGGAGTGGCATCCATTCATGCTCTGCAAGTGTGAATGAAGCTCCAAGTGGCTGCTCAACAAGTGGGAGCAAAGTCCCTCTGGTCCAAAGCTCCACCAGTGCCTCTGCTCAGGGAGACAAAGACACTCCTGTGCAGAATCACACGATGCAGCTTGAGACGTGAGGGGAGGCTCTCCCACTGCCCAGAGGCAGGTCTGCATGCCCCAGTCTCATAATGGACCCAGAGACGGGGAGATCTGACCCACCAGTGTCTGCATGCAGGGTCTCACACCCACAGGTCTCAGACTACCAGTCGCTGGAGGGCCACCTGAGGAGCTTGGTCCTACATTAGCAGAAAGACCAGGCCAGTTTCAACCACACGGAAGGCACAGAAAGATTAATTTCCTGAATCCAGCAGAAACGTCACACCACTTTTAGCAGAATCTAGGGTATGGTGTCAGAGGAGGTGCAGAGGGGAATAGAAGTGTGTCACGAAGTGATGGAATTGAGAACTAGAACTCGGATCTCCTCTCGGGATGTCAGGATGATGCAAGGACCACCTCTATGGGGAGATGGGCAAAAGCAGAGATCTCAGACTCAGCTGGACCAGACGAAATAAATTTAGAACACACAGAAAGTTTGAGTTATTTACCAAAGAAACTTTGTTTAGGCCCCAGAGGATTTCAGTTCCACAGACAGGAGATATCTAAGGGGACTGGAAAGTGAGAAACTGAAGTTTCTGCCTTGGGGCCTGTCACAGAGGTGGACAACAGGACATCTTCCTTCAGAGTCAACAAGTGTTGCAGGGTCTACGAACTGGGACCTGGGAGGGACGTGCTGACCCAGAGACACCTTTGGAGAAGAACCTGGCACATTTAGGTAGATTGATATGCAGCTCATGGCCTTTTCCCTCAAAGCATGAAAATACATGCAGGTTAAAGGAACATCCTAATACCATCTCCAAAATGTCAACCCCGAAAGTTGCTCTTTGAATTTCAATGAAGATCACTGTGATTTTCCGGAGCTGCTCCCATCCTTGTCACAGTCATCTTCAATCTGTTCCAGCAGGAGTCTAGTCAGGTACCTGCCATGCAACCCTGCTGCCTTCCTCAGTCGATAAACACAGCTGGAGATGTTCCCTAGTCTGACGTGGCTTTGCTCCCCAGCAAAGTGTCATCAGGCCAAAACCCTTCCCCCAGTGCACAGCCCAACCAGCTGCTGGGCTGTACTGGATCTGGGAAGATCCATCACTGGATGGATCCACACCATCCACACCATCCCTGGCTGTGTTTAAGATCCGTTTAGATGTGGTGTTGGGGGATATGGTGTAGGGGAGAACTTTAGAGTAGGGTAGATGGTTGGACTTGATGATCCCGAGGGTCTCTTCCAGCCTAGATGATTCTGTGATTCTCTTTCTCTGATCTCAGTGAGAAGTGGCAGAGCAACACCATGTCCACACAGCTGAACTTCCTTCCATGCACAAACATGACATCCTTACCCAAACTACCTCCCGCAAACAATCTGTACCTCAAAACTCTGCTCGAGTTTGTCTGGAAAAGCAAAAGTCGGCAAAACCCAAAACCATGGCCATGGCAAGAGCTAAACAGTACAGACAACTGGAGGAACATGCTCACACCTCTGTTCCAGCTTCAGTGTCTAAGCACCATCTGTTCTTCACACTTCACTGCACAACTTCAATCTAACCCAAACACGAGGCATTCTCCAAGAAAGCACCCAGCAAACATCAACTCCCAGGTACGGGAAGGGCTTATGAACCACGTGGATTAGTCCATTCTCTTTCTTATTCACCATCGTGAGAGGATGGGCAAACAGCCCCTGCTCCAGAGCACAGCTCCAAAGCAGCACGAGAGGGAGGAAGGTGGGACCTTCTCAGTGAAAGTCCCAACTCACCAGCCCTAATCATCCCTGGAAAAGGAGAAAAGCTGGAGCTGCAGACTGGAGAGCCGACAGCTAAACCAGCTCAGAGGTGGGGGGAAGAGAGCTCTGCTGCCCATGGAGTCCTGCTCCCACTGCACCCTCCGTGGCCACAAGAGCAGGGACGGAGGTGCCAGTGGCCCAGGGCACCCCTGACCTGCCACAACCTCATCACAGCACACACCAAGCCAGCGGGTCACTGATGGAATCCAAGCATCCAGAGGAGACGCCTGAGGGTGCAAACACACAACACTTCCAGGAAGGACTGGGACTAGAGCAAAGAAAAGACTTTGTAAGTAGGTTCAGGCTTCCAGAAAGTAATTAGAACTAGTTGCTGTGCTAAACAGAGAACTGTAATTTTTTAATTCTCCTTTCTCTTCTACAACTTTGTTTCCAGCTCCACAATCTCACTTCCCAGAATCCCAGTGTGAATTTTAAAACTCATTTAATATGCAAAGTGAACTCCACTGGATCTGTCACATCAGAGCCACTTCTCTCCCCTTCTGAGTAATATATTGAAAAAAAAAAAATAATCGAGATGTTCTCTTTAGTTGCTGGACACCAGGACAAGCTCAGGCTCTCCAGAAGCGTTTCCCACCCCGTCCTGGGGCTGGGAGAGGAGCTGCCTGGGTGGTGTCTGTGACAAGGGGAAGCCGTGGTGATACACCCCCCACAACAGGAGACCCATTAAGTCACTGTGACCTCCAAGAACACCGTGCTGTTTGGCACACGCTATGTCAGTCCTTCCTGACACCGCTGTCCTCCAGGAACAGCACATTCACCCTGGGTGGTGGCTGCCACTGGAGATAGTGTCAGGAGCCCCAGGGCTGAGCCATGGCCATTTTTACTATTTTCTGTTGGACCAGAACAAACACGTGCAAATTACTGTTTTCTTCTGAAGCCTCCTAAAATGTAAAGTGGGGTTGGAGGTTCAGATGAACAGTCACACTCTCTCCTGCTCCATCACCCACCGTCACCTGCAGAAGACCCCACCACCGCAGTGGGCACCTGCGATTGTTCTCCTCGCGACAGTCCCACACACTTACCATGGATGAGCTGGATGGGAACGCACCCAGGAACACACACTAACACCCTGAGACACAGTTCTGCGGGTACATCCATCACCCGCCACAAAGAGTGGGTAAACCCAGGGAACTGCTAGAAATGTACAATGAGGAATCCTGGATTTCCAGGGCTGCCCAGTGTCTCCCCTGGGACACTGGGGTCTAAGGAAACAGCTTACCTTGCCGTGGATCATACTGTCGCATCTGCACCTCCTCAACACATTCTGCCGGGAACCAGCCAGTCCTTCCTTTCACGGTTCCTTCCCAAAAGCCACCTTCTCCGATACTCAGCACTGTGGGGAGAAAGAAACAGGGCGTGAGGGTGAGCAGGGCTCCAGGAAAAGGGAAAGCCAGAATGACCATCGCACGGTGTTAACGCAGGGAAACACGGAAGGGCAGAGCACAGAAAATGTGTCCAGGGTCAGGCGTGGTCTGGAGGAAGAAAGCACCTCCAGAAACCTTCAAAAGCTTCTTCCCCCTGTGTCCAGAAGACAGACTGTGCAGAGTGGCCTTCATGCAGCCACATGCTGCCAAAATCAATCAGCAAATTGGCAGCATCCACCTTTGTAAGAAGGATTGTTAACGGAGACCCAGCCAGGACACACGCTTTGGTAACACCATCTCCTGCAAAGATCCCACCTACAACAACTTCTGACATCCTCAGAGCCACAGAGAAACCACAGCCCCATAAGGAAAACCAGACACAGAGAGGGAAATAAATTGGCCAAGGTGAGAACACAAGTCCCTCTGAGGACAGGGGGTTCCTGACCGTCCCGTATTCAAAAACCCAAGAGCTGCTTCGCTGGAAATGACACAGCCAACAGGAAGGTTGTCACATTGTCACAGCAAAATCCTCCCAGCCCATTAAGACTTGTCTTCACCTGCTCAAAGCTTAGAGGAACGGAAAGCAAGTCTTGAAATGTGCTCTGAAGATTAAAATGAATTCAGACGCAAGGAGATTTTAAAGGAGAATCACATCAGGAGCGTCCTCATTAAACCAGGGAAGGACCAGCTTGAGCTCCCCACCAACTGCCAGAGGAGAGGAGGCTTTCGGGCAGCCAGGATACAAACCACCTGAGAGCTACAGACAAAACCAGTGCTTCTGATGACACCTGGAGAACAAAGTGGAGCCCAAAGCAGAGCAGCCAGCACAGTTCCAGGCTACAAAACACCCTGAGGCTCCTGCCGTGAAAACCATGGCCAATGTGTGTTTGACGTCAGCTCTCCTCTCCCAGGTCCCTGCTGCTGGACCCCCCACACATAATGCTACCAGGCTCTGCGAGAAGCATCTGCACTGTTTGGGGACATTTATAAAAACATCAGCTGAGACCACTGCACTTCCTGTGGCCTCAGAGGACACCACGGTCACTCGACAGCACCCAAGGGAACAGAAATGCGCACAACGCAAGAGAGAAAAAAGGGAGGCGAGAATCATTACCAGTCCTTCCAGATGTTCCCCATTGATGTATTACATCCAGATACTGCCCCTATTTTATCCAGAAAATGGCTGATGCGCACCTCTCACTGGAATTCAAACACTTACAAGGCCAATTAATCGCACCATCCTGGCCCCAGGAAGCAGGGAAGGGGAGCAGCTCCCCACGTTCTCAGGTTCCCACGGCTGACCCCTGTAACAGGGGTCTCCAGAACTGATCTCAAAAGCATCTCCTCAGCCTTAGCTGGATAGTGGGTTCTTAAACACAAGCCCACTACATCAAGAGATCCCCTTGGTTAGCACAGAGACATGGGGGTTCCTGGAAACGTCAGGAGCCGTTACAGACCCTCTCAGAACAGAGGGGGACACTGGACTGGGCTCTGAAGCTGCCCCCAAGGCCCCTGGACCACAGGAGAAGGAAAAGGCTGACATCGAGTCCATTTTAAACTTGCAGCATCATATCTTGTGCTTTTTTTCCTGTGGCTGTTTCTCTAGCTTTGGATCCATAGCTTAACCTCGTGGCTTTGACAGCACAAACCCCATCTCCATTTCTCACTCACCCACGTGCTCCCGGGAAGCCGGCAGCCCAAGCGGGAGCAGCAGGGACAGGTCTGCAGAGCAGCCTGGGGACCTCACCCAGCACAAAGGCAGCAGTGGCCTTGGACCCTCCAGCCATCAGGCAGGACCCCATAAAAGATGAGGAACCTCCTGTGGCTGATCACGGAAAAGGCCCTCTGGCAAGGGGATGAGAGTGACAAGGCAGCCAGCCAGCACGGGGACACCTTACTGTCCTCTTCTGCCTCGGCTGTGCTGCAACTGCCATCCATCAGGAGATACTCAGCTCCAGATGCAAGAAACCACCGAGCAAACGAGACCACTGGTAGGACACAATCCATGGCAACCAGAACTTCAGTCCTCAGTAGGAACAGCCCTTGAGATAAACCCTGGTAATAGTAAAATTTGTACCCCAGGACACAAGGCTGTGCACGTGCTGTGGCTGTGCGTGGTGCCAGAGCCAGACCAACAGCAGCTACTGCTCGTCTCACCACAGCACACGGATTCTGCACAATCACAGCATCCTGTCACTCCTCCCTGTTTTCCCATCACCTCACAATGGGCACTCTTGTGGAACACTCAATAGTACCCCCTTTGGAAAGGTGAGCCCCCACCTCCCAAAAACTGTCCTCTCAGGTCACCTCCCCACGGAGACACTTCCACCCCCAGCTGAAGCATGAGGAGGCACCTCTCCTTGATGCTGGGAGGGCTGGAGCCCCTCTGCTGGGAGGGGGGGCTGAGAGAGTTGGGGGGGTTCAGCCTGGAGAAGAGAAGGCTCCGGGGAGACCTTGGAGCCCCTTCCAGTCCCTCAAGGGGGGGGCTCCAGGAAAGCTGGGGAGGGACTCTAGATGAGGGAGGGGAGCCACAGGAGGAGGGGGAAGGGTTGGACCCTGAAAGAGGGGAGATGGAGCTGAGCTGTGGGGAAGAACTTGTTTGGTGGGAGGGTGGTGAGAGCCTGGCCCAGGTTGCCAAGAGAAGCTGTGGCTGCCCCATCCCTGGAGGGGTTCAAGGGCAGGTTGGAGGGGGCTTGGAGCAACCTGGGCTGGTGGGAGGTGTCCCTGCCCAGGGCAGGGGGTGGCACTGGGGGGGCTTTAAGCTCCCTTCAACCCAAACCAGTCTGTGATTCTATGAAAAAAGAATCTGTGATGACACACGCAGCAGCACACCTTACCCCGACATGGACCACGGTCCCACTGCCAGGCTGGGGTTTCTGCTACTGGTAATTGAGTGGACAACTCTCTTTTTTTTCTTTTTAATTAGTTAACACCTGAATTCCTATGGTATTTGATATCCTGACTGGCAGAGGGCACAGAGACATCCACACTCTGCCATGTGCCACCTTTCCCATCCAGCTCCCTCCCAGCACTTCCCAGACAGCACCGTGGGATCCATCCCTGTGCCCGTCACCTCAGTGCCCATGTGTCCCTCACGGCCAAAGCCAAGCACCAGAGTCATTAATAAATGAAGCGCTGCTCCACGCCAGCCACAGCCGTTCCCCAAAGAGAGGAACCTGACAATTGCCCGTATTGAGGCATTACTCCTGTAGGGAGCAGGGGAAAAACAGACCAACCCGCCTGATTTACCAGCCAAACAGGAGACCCATTTCAGTCTCTTCTCCACATCTTCCCTTGAGGTGCAAATGCTCCAGCTCTCCAAAGGTTATGATGTTGTCACAGTTTGGAACAGACCCAAATCCCATACCTTATTTCCCACTGCTCTTGTCCGTGCACTGTTTACGCTTCCCAATGGAAAATTTCCTTTTTCTAGTGCTTTGTATTTCCAAATCCCCAACCAGCCCTTCATGGGGGAGAGCTCATCCAGCTCTCCAGAGCCTTCTGTTCTTGTGTTCCTAACGCCTGGCTCTTCAGTCACATAAGCACTACTTTGTAGGATTTGCTACTGCTTGAGGACTGGAAGGACCAAAGCTTCAGCCTCGTCTGGCATCGAGCTGAACCCAGATTTTAAGGCAGCAGCAAACTGAGTCTATTCTAATGACAGGGAAAACGTAAAGTTGTCTGTATTTCACCAGTTTGTCTCTGAGGTTGTTACATGAAACAACATAAAAACCATGCTCAAGCCAAGACAAACAGCCTCCACTGCTCTCCCCTCATCCAAGCTCATCACCTCACTGTAGAAGGCTCTCACCTTGGTTCAGCAGGATTTCTCCTTCACAAATCCAGGTTGGCTACTCCCACTCACCCTCTTGCCCTTCCCGTGTCTGGAAATAGTTCCCAGGGTTAGTTCCTCCATCACCTTCCCAGGGATTAAGATGAGACTCACCAGCCTGGAGTTCCCCACTCCCCACTCCTCCTTGCCTTTCCTAAAGACAGGAGTGGCATTGGCTTTCTTTCAGTCATCAGGAACCTCTCCTGACCACCATGACCTCTCAAAGACAATGCAGAGTGACCTGGCAATGCCACCAGCCAGCTCCCTCAGCACTCACTGGTGCATCTCATCAGGCACAGGGACTCAGGTGTGTTCCATTTCTTTGCATGTTCCCTCACCTGGCCCTCCTCCACTGAGGGTACACCTGCCTTACCATGGACTATCCCACTGGTCTCGGGGACCTGGGACTGCTGCAGGCTGGTCTTACCAGCGAAGGCTGAGGTGAAGAAGGTGGGTACCTCAGCCTCAGTCAGCTGATGCAAACTTTTCTTGCCAAATAAACATGCAACTTCCTCAGAAATGAGGCACAAAGAGATGAGCTTTGGGGTGGCAAGGAGAGGAGAAGATGGTGTGCCTGATGAGCAGGGAGAGGAGGAGATGGTGTGCCTGGCACACCCAAAGGTCACACTCAAAGCAGCAGCTTGGATTCAGCTGGACTTCAGCAGGGCCTGACTTGACACATGGATGCCATCTCTCCGCAGTCTCTCCAGGTCCCTCCTGACAAGTCACTCCAAAAGCTTGTTTCATCTTCTTCTGCAAAGTCAGGCCCTTCTCCTTCACCGCCAGGCTCAGAGCTCCCGTGGCAGCCCTCCGCTCCCGCGGGGGCCCTAGACAGACCAGGCACCACCACAGCGGTCAAGGAAAAGCTGGCACCGACAGGAGAAGAGGAATAAATGGTCTACTGAGGCCTACAAATCACAAATGCAAGCTGGGTGCCTCATCCACACCACCATCAGCTCTGAAGGTCACTGGTAATTTGAATAGCCATAAAGATGGTAATGAGGCATATACCCAGGCACATCGGGATGCGCACGCAAAATGCTGAAATATGCTCTGAAGAAACTAACAAACAAAGCACACTAGGAAAAAGTTTCTTTAACGATGGAGGACACAGCTCATCAGCTCTGGACCCCAGAC